TTAAAAGCATTTGCCAGTGAACATCCAGTAAGTTCAGTACCATTGCACAGCATTTTTTCAATTGAACTGAAGGGGCGATTACGATAAAGAAGATAATTTAGTTGCTTCCACATGATGTCAGTGCGTCCTTGTGTGGCCTTGAACAAATCAAAATGATAACGCGTTCTGGCGCGCTTTAGTTCTTTTGTCAGGTTGTTGCGATAGTTTTTAAATACTTTAAGGTCCTTCTGGTCCTTGGATTTTATGAATTTACCATATAAAGCGTTTTTTATCTTAATTTTACAGAGTAAATTTCTCGTTATCTAAGGCTTCTTTATGCGCTTGTTTGTTTTAATAGAAGTGAAAGGAAAATATGTCTTATACAGTCCAAGAAATAACTCTATAAAAGTGTTATACGCCCCGTCAGCACTATCCTCACACAGTACCCGGCTCCAATTTGTATTTGAAACAGCGGTCTGAAAAGCGTTGAGTCGATCTAAAGTTATTTTTTGTACTAATGTCCGCTCTGTCCTACAATTTTTTTTCGGGAAACTTTTGAGAGAAATGAATATTGGGAGGTGGTCACTCAGATCGCAAACAATGACGCCAGCTTTTATATAATCAACTGAGCTGTTTGAAATAAACAAATCAATCAATGTTTCAGATTGGAGAGTAACACGTGTAGGTCTATTAATAACATTTGCACAACCATATGTCCTGATTAGCGAATCTAAACTTTTTTTAGCTACGGTTTCCGCGCTCATATCAATATTAAAGTCCCCACCACAAATTACATTACATTTTTCTTCATTAACAAAAACCAAAAAAGACTCGAAAAATTTTAAAAACGATTCAATGTTGCCGTTTGGTGGTCGGTACACCACAGCAAAGATATTCTGGTTATTGCGTATACACATCATTTCGTAATCTTGAGTGATGCAACTATAATCACCTATTACTTCACCAGAAACACTTTTTGTCAAAATGGCTAAGCCACCACCACGTTTCTCTTTACGATTTATGTAAAAAGAGTGGTATGTAGGGAGTTGTAGTACGTCAGTCTCTTCAGTGTACCAGGTTTCTGTAAGCATGATGACATCGAAAGAAAAACCAAATTGATCGAAAAGTAGCTCAAGATCTACAGCTTTGCTTTTCGCAGACCGAACATTTAAATGGAAACAGGTAATGTGTGAAATATAATCCGCACCAAGATAGGTTATCAAGTCTTGCGGAAGAACGAACGCGTCAATTGCCATAAAAAACAAAAAGAACAGAGGATATTATCATCGACCGCCCTAAGATAGAAATTCGCGTATAAGATCCTGCAAAAATGCCCGTCTTTATCATCGTTAAAGTGACTTTTGAAGATAACGCCGTCGCAATAGCCGTACCCAGATTGTTTTTCTGCCACGCGGCAAGTAAACTTTCGGGTTTCATTTTGCAAGAACTAATAAAACAATGATGTTTAGCGCTGGTAGTTCCTATTTAATTTTTTCAAGATCGCCTTCATGCTCAATCCGAATTGTCGGTGCGCCTTCTTGTTTTCTCACGTATGAACAACCTTCCTTGTGCCAAATAAACTTGTAGCTGAGGTGCTTCGCCTTTGTTCTAACATCGTAGAACAACTTCCGGTTCGACGCCGTCATGTTCTCTTGCAGGTACACTTTGCCATCATCGGCTTCCGACCTTAACTTTTGCTTGTTTTGAAGCCATGCATTTCGCTCATTTCTGTTCACAAAGCGCACAATCACCATAGGCGTCTTCTTTGTCCTAGTTGGAACGCGGTGGATTGCCTCTACGCTATCTTTCGTTAGGGGCGGAACTTCTATCTGATCCGCGATTTTGTTAAGGTTTTCGAGCAAATTTTCATTGATAGTTTCTACAAGACCGTGCACTTCAAGATTATTCCTTCGCCCGTGTTGTTCCAATTTGTTTAGTTCTTTTTTTAGTTGGGTAGTTTCGTCCGTTTTCCGTTCTTGTTCTAGTTGATTCACCTTTTTCCTCAGTTATTTTATTTCGCTGTCATGCTCTTTCATTTTTCTTAAGACTTCATCGTAGTTGTCGGACATTGCTTGCACCGATTTCTCAATGTCCATCACAGTTTGTTTCATGCCCACCAGCTCATCCACTTGTTGCTTTAGTGGCGCGAGTATTGTTAACATTCCCATTATACGGGTCAGTTGCTGTTGAACATCTGGCGATTCATCTTTTGACTGTTCATCTTCCAGAGCGCTGCGAGTTCTTGCTCTAGCACTCAGACACGTTTGGCATTTCCAAGTCTCTTTAAACCCTGGCTTTTTTCCCCGGAGGGACTTTTCGGTTACGCCTGCACAGGTACCAATATGGTAGCGAAAGCGACATTCGCTACACTCCAAAACACCGTCATCATCGTCGATTTGCCCCTTACAATGGAAGCAGAAATCATCATCGTCTTTGTGTTTAGCCATCTCAGTAACACTTTTTGGAAAGCAGTCAGCGACAGGGATTTTAAGACACAAGTTGAAAAAAAGGGGTACTTTTCCTACCTGCAGAATCAGATGATTATCGTCTCGCCAGAGAGCCCTGTCGCTGACTGCTATCCGTCAATCCTGCGCAGCTCCTTTTGTAGCTTCTAGTGGCTTGGTGTCGCTTCAGCCGCTGCTGTCGCTTGCCCCGAAGTCCGTTGCTTGCGCCCGTTGACTTGCCCTTATCTTCGATGAAACGCGGTGTTGGCTGGGGCGTGTCGTTTCCGCGCAGTTTTCGTCTGGCGGGTACCAGGGCCTACAGAATCAGATGATTATCGTCTCGCCAGAGAGCCCTGTCGCTGACTGCTATCCGTCAATCCTGCGCAGCTCCTTTTGTAGCTTCTAGTGGCTTGGTGTCGCTTCAGCCGCTGCTGTCGCTTGCCCCGAAGTCCGTTGCTTGCGCCCGTTGACTTGCCCTTATCTTCGATGAAACGCGGTGTTGGCTGGGGCGTGTCGTTTCCACGCAGTTTTCGTCTGGCGGGTACCAGGGCCTGCAGAATCAGATGATTATCGTCTCGCCAGAGAGCCCTGTCGCTGACTGCTTACCATTCCGGCTTGCATGAACAATGCAGCATGCACGGTCCTCAGCTCAGCACAAAAGCCGCATCCGCAGGCTCGCATCCTCTGACTACTGCTTTCGGGAGAGATCCAGCACTTAACGTCACTTCGTTTATTGTTTGTATCTTACCTTACACTGCGCCCCGCGCAAAATTGAAGAAAATGACATGGACATTCCCATAAGGCCCGTGGGCACGTGCACAAGTCTTGTGTTGGGTTAACAAACGGGACAAAGCGCCTCGCCAATAGGGACATCGCTGAATATCACGTCCTGCGGCGCACCTTAGACGCATCGTTTAACTACAATCTATATTCCCTAAATGGGGAGTCCACTATTAACGAACTTGGGATACGGATATGAGTGAATGGATAACCAAACGAACCTACATAATAGACACCGCAGTAGTCGCACCTTCAAGTAGGTTGCGTTCAGAAAGGCACAAAACGTTGAGGGCGCATTGTTGGCATTTTGAGTGGTCATTCAGCTCGCAGTTCATCTCCTGTCCTGTTCTCCGCTTAAAATTAATCGTTTAGACAGTGTTCGCGAGAGCAGTAAGTGCTAAAATGACAACACACAGAAAAAAAAGCTCGACGTTTTGCTGTAGCGTTGTCAAATATACAAGCAAAAATAAAAAGTTTTATTTTTGTATCCACTTCTCATTTTCTTTTTTTTGTTATTATTTTTTTTTAAGCTAAAGTCTGCATTGCTGTCGTAGGTCGTTTCCCGGTCTGCGTTGAGCCTCAGTGTGGCAATCTTTACTTCCGTAAAACCACCCCTTTGGTTTGAGAATTTTTTGGGTGAAACTCTAGGAAACAAAAGGCGCCTTTGGGAAGGCGAGGGGAAAGCCTTTATTGCACGAGCCTTGGGCTGAAAAATGAAATATGAATCAAAATCGGCAAAAAAATTGATGTTTTCACAAGCTCAATTAAAGTCACCGTAGCTAATCGAAGCTAGCACCAGAATTTTGTTGCTCGAAAGAATGTTCACGTTTGCTCATGCCACGCCCACGCCACTACATACCGAAAAACTCCGAAAATGGCGGAATGTCAAACATTTATTTGAGATAATGAGTACAAGATACTGAGTAATGTAATTAAGATACAGTATCAAATACTCTCGATCAAAAATATTTCAAAATACCAAGATACTTCAAAAAACAGTATTTGAGTAGAGTATTTGAGATAGGCACAAGTCTGGTTGGAGCACAGTCAACGGCACGACGCTGTGGGCCCGTCATAGAGGCTGGACGAGCCATCTTGTTCTTAACGTTGTAGAGGTGAAATGTGACACATCAGTGTTCTTGAGTTGCAGTAGCACTGTTCGTACATATTGCCAAGATTATCTGCGGTCACACCTCAAATATGTTCGAGGCACGTTTGCTTCGTACGTGTGCAAGCTTCGAACATATCTGAAGGCAATTTTTACGTGACCGAAGTGAACGTCATACAAGGAAGGCTTCAGACAGTGCCTGCTGCACACTGTCTTTTGTATGGTGCATTACCAGCGGGACCGCGGCCTATACACGCATGTGACGCGCAATCGCGCGGTGCGTTGCAGGAGCCCGCGGTTTTTGCCTAAGGCCACTACGCTCCAGCTTGAGGGCCGACCCAAAATGCGGGCGGAAGACGCAGCAACATCACCCACGCCGCCGAGCGCGCACACTGTGGGCTGCAGGATGGCAGAATTAAATCGGATAGATAAAAAAATAAAGACAGTGTCGTGTTTGTGATGCACGAACGCGTCACTGGTGATTACGCCACTCGGTGACGGCGAAAACAGTGAATCCAACAGGCTCGTCGCATGACGAACTTCGATGAACAATTGACGTATTTAGACGACCATTTTTGAGCTGCGGTTTTAATAAATAACAATGAAAGAAACAACAACGTAATGTTGTCTTTAAAAGAAATTGAGCGCAGTTGTTGTTTATGATTGGTCAACGCCCGCGTCGCACTCACCGAAGATGAGGCTGACAACGATTCCCACCAAGACGCCGGAGATGAAACCCATGCTGCCCGTCCAGAGATGCGAGACATGGTAAAACATGAGGATGCCACTGCAATAAAAAAGAAAAAAAGAAGCATAAGGAAAGGTGTCAGTTTTTAGCAATCGAATCATTTGGAAATGTCCTTCTTCGAACACTAAGAATGCTGTTGCCACATGCTCGAAACATGCAATTAACCCTTTTCAAAAGTCCATCAAGCAACATTAGCACCCTTGCTTGGACACGAAGCGCGTGATTGGATCCGAGTCCTCGCCGAACGCTGACGTCACACTCGTGTCCAATACAAGCTGAGCCGAGTTTACGCCGAATGCTGACGCAACTGCATTCTCTAATACTTGTTCAGAGTAGGTGAGCAAGCAATGGCGGACAGGTGCTGGCGCGAACTTTTGAAAACATTGCCGAAAAACCATAACTACCCTGGACGGTTTGTGGATGAAAAAAAAAAGAGGCCGCATCTCCATGTGATGAATGATGTTGATTGGGGCGAAGCTGTGGTGGTGCTGATGATACCGATTTCATTTTTCATAGGTGGTGCTGATTTTTTTTTTTATTGCTCACAGGTAGTGCTGAGTTCCGGGTTGCGTTTCGACTTCATTATTACTGCTTTATGGTCGGTGAAATGCAGTGCCAGTGGTTCTCCTAGCGGATTAGCTTGGATCCGCTAGAAGCCGTGGGAACGCATCTCCACCGCTTAAGTCAACGGTCCATGTCAGAAAGAGAATGTGTGGTATGGATCGTGGTTATACACGCAACTGAGCATTTGACCTCAGCGCCCTTTCGTCTATAAACGTTGAGCCAATGCATGCAAAGTTTAAAGGCCGACGATCAGACTCGAGATTCTGCAAGGTAGAAGATCTTCCTCACCATGGGGGAGGCGGAAGCAGGCAACGGTGGACAGGGTAAAAGGAGGGAGAGGAAGCGGGGGAAAAGTGGAGAGCGCGAACTGGCGGTCGGTCTTTAACGCGATTATATACGCATTCGACCGCAGCGCCCTCTCCTGTATAGGCGTTGAGCGGCTACTTGCAACGTTGGAGTGTAGCGTGGTGACAAGCGCGTGCCACCGTTCAGAACGGTCGCAAGTTTGATGAGCTCCCGAGGAGCGTCTGCAACGGCTTTCACCGGCCGTGGTTCATCTACTGAAATGTCTCAGGATTCCTACCGAGTGGTTCTGCCGTCTCTGCCCACAGGTACCGAAGTTTTGAACTCTGTATTTGCGCATTGTGACACCTCCGGACGCCCATACAAGATAGACGATTTTCGAACATAAATGGAACGCTATGGCGTTCTACAAGATTTGATTGGAGCTGGCCAGTACCAAATGAACCATGTTTGGCTCTTTACGTTTAACTCTCTGACTGCGAAGAGGAAGCTTCTTGCGGCAAAAGAACTGGTCGTGAAAGAAAAATGATGTTTGCTCATTGACCCTGACGAATGCGAGGTCCGACTACGACTGCGCTGGACACCGATTCACATAAGCGACGACGCAGTACGGAGGGCCCTGGAGCCTTACGGGAAGGTGAACGAAGTGTCCCGAGACACGTGGAGGGTGGAAGGAATCCAGAATGTTCAGACGACAACGAGATTTGTTAAAATGAACCTCAAGGAGGGCACAACAAAAGATCATCTCCCGCACCAGCTGGTTATGTTTGGCAGCAAGGTCCTGGTCGTCGTTCCAGGGAGAGCACCACTCTGCCTCCGATGCAAGAGGACAGGCCACATTCGCAGAGAGTGCCGAGTTCCCCACTGCGACAAGTGCAATCGTTATGGCCACGAGCAAGAGGACTGCATTCGAACATATGCCACCGTGATGCTGCCTGCTCCCGGGGAAGACAACTCGGAGTTCTTCATCGATGAAGAAGAAGCTGTGAAAGGCGAAGACGACATTCGACATCCAGTCACTACTAGTGACCCAAAGGTTGCAGACGGACGACAAGAACACCTAGAATGGACGAATGACACCACCTTGTCAAGTTGTCCAACTGGTCGAGAGAGAGACCCTGCACGAGAGGACGACACTTTGGCGTCTAATTGTCAAGCTGGTCGTGTAAGAGACCTATCCCGGAAGAGCGACACCATCTCATCTGGTCCACTGGCCGGTCGAGAGGGAGACCTAGCACGGGAGAGCGACACCATCTTGGCAAGTTGCCTGGGAGCTGACAACCCTGCGGCTGGCATCATCAGTCCGGACGTCGACAGTGCTGCCTCGGACCCTTCGAAGGGCCAGTTAACGAAGCCAGCTTGCATGAGCGATCACCATTCGGATATCACGTCCGAACACGACCTGGAAATGGTTGACGGCGCTGACCCCTCAAAGAGGCCTTTGGACCTCGTAGAGGAGGGGCCTGACTGGACTCCAGTACACGGGAGGAAGAAACGGTGCAAGCCCCTCCCTCCCCCAGGAAATGGACGAGAGCGAACCTCGTAAAAGGTGGTTACTTTCTGGTTATATTCAAACTGCGAACGCTTTAGGTCATGTCTTTCTTAGTTCCACTTTCTCTTTACTAGTACCAGTTGCAAAGTTATGCATGATGTAACTGCCATGTGAGGCTGTTTATATGTCACTTTCCAATGCACGCTTTCTCCTCCAATTCCAGCAATGCTTCCGACTAAAAAATCTGGCCCTTCCACTAAAAGTTTAACATTTAGAACCCTCACCATTAAAGCACTAAACTCTAGTCGAAAACAGAACCAGCTGCTACGTTTGCTCCACGAGGAGCAGTTAGACTTTTTCGCCTTACAAGATCTGGATGAGCATCGTACCGGCGTGCGGTCGTGTATCACTACTGCGTGAGCACGTTAAAGACCCCAGGTTAGCAGTCGTACTGCACTGGCAAAATTGCTCATCTACAGTGTAAACCAGTGTCGCCTCATCCTGGCAGACCAACCTTACACTGTATAAACACTAAACGTCCAATTTGACTTTGAAGAAACAAAAATGGCGGAGGAAGAGCAGGTGACGAGAGCGTTACAGCCTTTTCTTACCTTGTGCGAGGTATGCGTAACGAGGTGGTCGTTTTTTATTCCTGAAAAAGTTTGTTCCCTTTCAGACGTGAGTGTCATTACCGATGACCATGGGCGTTTTATTTTGTGCGACTTTAATTTGATGGAAGAGCGGTGGAGAGTAATTTGCATCTATGCCCCCTGTAAGGTTAGTGAACGGGAGGCATTCTTCCGAGGAATTTCACATTACATCGAATCTGATCGGATCACTGTACTTCTAGGCGACTTTAATTGCATTTGTGAAGCAAGAGACAGAACTCCATTCATGCGCGTAAGTGATTCTAGTGCAAATGTGCTGAGTGAAATAAGCGCTGAGAATAATTTGGAAGATGTTTTTTACATTTCAAAAAGTACAAAGAAAATTCAGTTCACACATTTTCAGAAATCCTCTCACGCACGCCTTGACCGCATTTAATTTTCTAGCGACATTGTAAATAACATTGGATCTTATCACGTAAAACCTGTGTTCTTTAGTGACCACTGTCTTGTAAATGTTACAATTGGAGAAAACCAAACCCCTAGGTCAAAGCTTAACTGGCGATTGTGGAAGCTGAACGCAGGCCTACTTAAAGACAAGACATTTGAAGCTGCAGTGGACGATCTCCTTGATAAAATGGTTGAGCAAAGCGGGATGTGCCCCTTAGAACGGTGGGAGCGTTTCAAGGAGGAGGTTAAAATGTCAGCAATCAGGAGATCGAGCGCGCTCATGTTTTACGCCAGAGAAGAAGAGCGAAAACTGCAGCAGAATTTACAGACCCTCAGTGAAGCAGAATGTACTAACCCTGGTCAAGGAGTAAAAGACATAGAAAATATCAAAGCACAACTCGAACACTTTCAGAAAGCGCGCTATGAAGGTGCTGTGGTCCACGCAAGAACGCAAAGGTTTCTTTGCGGCGAACAACCTCCCAAGCAAGCTTTGATAGCTGAAAAAAGATATGCCATGTCCAAAGAAATAACCGAAATCGAGAGGAATGGCAACCTCACCGCGGATAGCACGAACATCGAGGAGGCGTTTGTAGAACATTACCGAAGAATATTTTCACTCACTTCAGGACGGCACGATTGTGAAATGAAAGACCTCCTGTCTCTTATGCCGAGGCTAGACGACAACACGCGGGAATGGCTGGAGGAACCCATCAGCGATGAAGAAGTAGAAAAAGCAATAAGCGACCTGCCCAGGGGTAAAACACCAGGCCCTGGCGGGCTTTGTTCAACTTTTACAAAAAATTCAAAAGTCGGCTCTGTCCCATTTTGCTCACTGTCATTGAAGAATCTTATAAAAAAAAATATTGCCGTTGTCTTTCATGAGAACTCACACGGTTTTAATTCCAAAATCCGAGGATAACGCCAAGTTGCGTTGTGTTGAGGGCTATAGGCCAATAAGTCTCTGAAATGTAGATTATAGAATAGTTGCAAAAATTCTCAATAGAAGGCTGCAGCATGTAATATGCCAATCGGTAGGCGATCATCATACATGTAGAATAAAGAGTAGAACCATACAAAAAATATTCACGTAGCCAGAAGCATTTTAGACTGTTGTACCGATAGAGAAGATCAGATTGCCATGCTACCAGTCTTGGGTAGTAACGCGTTACTAGAAACGCGTTACTGTAATTTAGTTACTTTTTCGGTAACTTGTAACTGTAACGAGTTACTTTTTAAAAATGTAACTTGTAACTGTAGTTCTATTACTTTTTTTCTGAGGTAACGATGAAAGTAACGACGTTCCTTTTGTCGTTACTTTCCAGTTTTTTATGAATAATATATCACTGAACGAGGTACCATTTAGCCATTTTTTGCGCTTTCTATATTGTCTCTTCCGACATTTCGAGTGTCAAGTTATTTTTTGCACAGACTTGTGAATACGTTCTTTCTCGCCAATCACTACCCGAATATAGCCACGTGTAGGTTTGGTGAAAAAAAAATGTAGTTATCTTTAGCACGTGCTTGTACTTAGTGACTGAACACCTGCATCTTAGTGTCTTGAAGAACTATCTCTTTCGAGGTTTCTCTTTTTTTCTGCGCAAACGCTTTTTAATGGGGTGAATTAA